GCCAAGCTAGCCGCCCTGCTCCAGAGCGATCACGAAATACCCCTGGGGAAGAGCTTGAAGATCTTGGGTTGAGTGTGGAACCCACTCATGCTAGCGGAGGACATGATGCACCCAATTGGAGCAAAGTTAAAAGCTCAGTCATTCTCCTTGGGGCAACAGTCCTCTATGCGGTGATTGCTGAGATTCTTGTCAACACAGTTGATGTTGTGCTAGAAAGTGTGGATATTGATGAGAAATTCCTCGGTATTACTCTTTTCGCGTTGGTGCCAAACACGACGGAGTTCCTGGTATGTTGGTCATGAAAGGCTTTACCTGAGGCTGATTTGCATTTTATGTTGTTAACTAACGCATCTAATAGAACGCCATCTCATTCGCCATGAACGGCAACATCGCATTGTCTATGGAAATCGGATCTGCCTACGCACTACAGGTTTGTCTTTTACAGATTCCCGCTGTAGTATTCTTCAGCGCTTTCTATGGACGCTCGCTGGACCCGTCCGAGCTTGCCAGCCACTCATTCAAGTAAGATCTCTTTTTTTAGTCTATCTCCAATCAAAAGGCTATGACTAACCAACTATTTCAAATAGCCTGATATTCCCCCAGTGGGATATGATTACCGTTATCCTGTGCGTCTTCCTTCTCTCGCATGTATATGGCGAAGGAAAGAGCAACTATTTCAAGGGATCCATCCTTGTACTCACCTACCTCGTCGTTGTGCTTGGCTTCCATATGTCGGGCTATGTGAACATGGACAGCATGGGCGTGGATCGCTTTGATACCCTGGCTATAGGTGGTGCCAGTAGTTCTGACAAGTTCTACACTGTCGGCCGAACAAGAGGCGGGGTGGCCTATTAGACGAGGTGCACATATTGACTGGTAGTGGCTTTTTCAGCACAAGCCATTCATTGACTTGTCTGAATTAATGTTGCATAGCGAGCTTCTTTTGCTTTTCGGAATTTTGTTTATATGCTTGACGTTTACAGTGTGACTTATGTTTTTTTTGGCTTTCCTGATGACCTGGGCTTTATAGCTCGATGCATTAGGCGTGAGCATGATTTCGCAATAATTATGAATTTGAAATTGTTATCTGAACTTCATTCCTGGTGCTTTTATTATGCGGATTGATTCCAAATATACCCGAACAAGATAATATATAAATTTTGACCGAATATCCCAGTACTCATATGCTTTTTGTTTTTGTTTTTGTTTTTGGTGATATTATGTGGACTTGGACTTCCAGGCCCCCACAGCATCATCCACCATCTCACGATATTTCTGCTGTTTGAAGCACTGTTCTAGAAAGACCTCGTACTTAACACCAAGTAGGGCTTTCTCATTCTTATCTTCTGTTGGCAACACCTTCTTGCCAGGCTTGCTCATCCGATTCATGATATCCCACAGATCTTCAGTTTTTCCCTGGGAATCAGCGCTGGCGGCCTTGGCGCCGAGCATAGCAGCACCGTGGCATACCGCAGCATGAATGTACCGAGGAATCAACACAGGCATGTCGCAGGCAGATGCGACGAGATTGACCAGGATGTCATTCTGGCATTGAGAGCCCGACATGAACACCGAGGTGATGCGGTGGCCTGCCTTGTTCATTGTCTCTACAATCTGCTTGGTTTGTAGCGCAATGAACTCCATGGTGGCGTAGTAGTAAATGGCAAGACCATCCACAGATTTGTCACTGGTTAGGCCAAAGACGGATCCAGTCATGTTAGGATCAGCAATGGGAGAGCGGTTGCCCCATAGATCACCATAGAAAAAGAAGTGGCGTCCAAGATAAGATACACATGGGGCTCCTTGTCCATGTGCCATCTCTTTGAGATGCTCGTTCAGATATTCGTAGACGTTGACATGGTATGACTCGGCAATCGAGGTAGCCTGGTTGAATGCCGGGTGGGTCTCGATTACATGCTTGAGCAATTCCCCTGTGGCGGATTGCCCGCCCTCCGCCATCCAGTATCCGGGGAGGATGGTATCCCGATATGGACCCCAGACACCATCAACAAAAACCGGGTCTGGTGACATGGCAAGGTGACAGGTCGAGGTTCCTGCGACAGCCGCGAGACGAGAGAAGGCCTCTGATCTATCAAGTTTGGGGACATCTGCGCTAGATTGACCCGCGCCCAGATCAACCTTGGATCCAACGGTACCGATCCAGCCAGCGTAGGCGTCGATTACACCACTGCCAATAGCAATACCAACTGGCAGGCCTAGCTCGGCAGCAGCCTTATCGCAGAGCGTGCCAACCAATTCACCGGCACTCAAATAATCACCATTCTGTGTGGCACCAAAGGTTAGCCAACCGCGTCATTGTCAATTGGGGAAAGGCTCACCACCCCGTCGACTCCGCCCATGCGCTTGAAGTTATCTTTGGTCAGGTCACCCAGACCAATGTCCTCCAAGAAATCTTCTTGCCATCCCTTGACGCTCCCATCGACACCAACAGGCACGTATCCTTGCTTACAGACCACGCTGCAGAAGCTTCGCTTTTCGTTGCCTGTAGCAATGTGCGTAAGGGCATCCCCCAGATCATAGAACTTGCATCTGTCAAAGAGCTCCTTGGGCATGTGGTTCTTGAGCCAAAGCACCTTGGGGATCTCCATCTCAATGGACATCTTGCCACCGACATAGCGGAGCAAGTTGTGGTTGGTAGCATTGATCTTCGCGGCTTCCTCGACTGGACGGTGATCCAGCCACAAGATCACGTTGCGGTCCGAATCGAAGTTTGGGGCCGTTACAGAGATCGGCTCGTCGGTATCATTGGAGAAAACCGACAGGGAGCAGGTGGCATCAAACCCGATACCTCGGACCGTGTCAGGGTTGATATTGTGCTGGCTAATAGCGCGCTGAACGGCGACACAGATGCAATGCCAGATGTCGGAGGTAGATTGTTCCTAGAGACTAGGTAAGACTGATTTGGCACACAAACTTATTGCAGATTTGCAGATTTGCAGATTTACCCACATAGTAACCGTGTTCTGGTTGCCAAAGACCAATGTTTTCTGATGCCAACCCCACAATATCACCTTTGGCGTCAATGATACAGGCACGGGCACTACCAGTTCCGACATCAATGCCAATATAGTGGTCGAGATGAACTGCCAGATCCTCCCGAGGGTCACTAGATGCTTTTCGGGAGCTCTGGTGGGAGGCACGACGGTAGGGCAGTGAGGTCATGTTGCCGTTGGGAGCTCTTTTACTTTTCGAATTGACAGCTGTGGAGCTATAGGTTGCTACCGGAAGCCGACTTACTGTTAATATCTGTATATATTGAGATTGAAAGATGTAATCCAGAGAAATCGAAAGTGAAACTCTGCGATGTAAAGGAGAATCAAAGTGCCCCAGTCCTGACCCCAGTCCTGACGGAGCAGTGCTAGCCGGTACCTTGCACACCATTTGGGGGAGGTACTTTACCGATACTTGGTGTCTCAGCCATTTCAGTATCGTAATTGAAGTACTTTTTATGTACCATACACGGAAGTAAAGTACAATGTATAGATGATCTTCTTTTCTATTTTTTTTTTTTTTTTACATGACTATATATTCAATTGAAGTTTTTGATTCATTTCCAATTATCTACGGAGTAATAAGCACGATAATATCTAGACTACATAGTATGTACCCTAATACCTCCAGGGCTAGGTACTCCGTATGTTGTATGTAATCGGGAGCTCGGACCAACTTCCTTCTCCAACACCGTGACATCTTAGCTTGTCAACTCAATAAGTATCTTCGCCATGCGGTTCCTACCCACCATTCTCGGTGCTGTCTCACTCCTAATCTCTGTCGCCAATGCCTCCCTCTCGACCGACATCCTGTATTGGCCCTTAGGTTCGCCACAACCGTCCGTCCTCGCGCGCGTCTCCTACGACCCAGCCTCATTGAAATCGGACGTGGTCTCATATCATCCCCCAAAAGATGACCAGGGCGATAGTCTAGTGCGTCTGGGCCTCTACACGTCAACCCCCACAAACAAAAAGCAATGGGTCGGCAGTCTCGTATCGTTGTCGTCTTTAAAGACCAGTGAACAACCAACATTTCGCCTTCACCTCGGTCCAGCCAACGAAGTCTACACTGTCTCCCTGTCTGCATCGCCCATTAATGCTCAGGGCTCAACTGGCCCTCGAATTGATCTCGTCTCGAATGAATCCGGGACACAACCTCACCTGAACAGACCAGTGGTTGTTGGGCCCGATGGTCAAAACCCAGAGCAACCCGAAGAAAAGTCTCTTTTCCAGAAGTAGGTCTTGGATAGGTGTGTGTCATTTCTTTCGTGTACTAATTAATAATATAGGTACTGGTGGGTTCTTCTGATCATCACATTCATCACCATGTCCGGAGGTGGCGGAGAATAAATGACATTGATGTTCGACTTTTCATTATATTACCTATCTTGAAATAATACTTGGGTTGGAACTATGCTTTGCGGTTACTCCCTTGAAGATGCCAGGTGTATTTGCGGATACAATGCCAACTAGGGGTCCATCCGAAGTATGGACCTATCCGGCTAGTCTACTTTACAACCACTTTCGGCTGGAAATAAGTCTAGGAATTGGTATATCTCTTGTATATAGTACCTTTAGTTGACATACCTGCAGGAATGTACATATGTAGTATGTACTATGTAGTATGTAGTATACCAAGTATATAGTGACAAGGCGGAGAGCAACGTCAAAACAATATCCTAGACAGAAGTATGAACGTTTGGACTCCATGTAAATGGGAATCACAATGCTGAAATTGTTGGAACTGCCCCCACCTTAAAACAATACATATATATATATATGTGTGTGTGTGTGTGTGTGTGTGTTTAGTTCATCTTTTCCCCAACTTAACCACTTCCTCTCTTTCTGCCTGGTCCATCACAAAAATCCAGCGCTGCTACCTAGACCCACGAGGCAGCAAAAAGTCTGTGCACCTGGCCCTCACAAAGTTCTATAAATCTATGCTAAGCCCCCTCAATATTAGATCCGGCACAAATTACCACGTCAAAGATGTTACTTCAACTTCCCACAGAGCTGATACAGCTGGTTCTTCGGAACTGCGACACATCAGCCTACTTCCAGGCAGCCTTTTCAAGCCGTAGGCTGTATGAGATCGCCTCCAACAGCCGAGAAGTCATCATTCATCAGCTACATAATACTCCTGGTTGGAACGATACAATTGATGCCAATCATACTAGGCATCTGTTTGGCGAGTTAATGAGACGGTCTTACGAACAATTAGATGGCGCAGAGCATTACGCCAATCCCACCTATGAGTATCAAGACGGAGTGATTGACTACCATGCATCGACAATTGAGGCATCGGAAGATGGCATTCGAGCACTGCTCGTCTTCAAAGGCCACAGTACTGTCCGCCTGATTGACATGAGAGATGGAGATCGAACTGAAGTCCAATTGAAATCCCCGGGAGAGAATATTGGGGAGGTCGAGATCATCCAGACTGCCTTTGATGGAAACCGCGGGGTCTACGTGTTGCACCGATTCAAACCATTTTTAGATCAAGAGCTGGATACAGACCATCCATTTGTCAAACACGCCCTGGAGTCTCGCCTCAACGGGAGTATTCACCTGGCCCACCATCAGTTGAATCCCCGGGCAAACATCATTCGAATGTATGACTTTCCCGAATCCCGAGATTATAGGCCACTGGCTTTGTCCGTTGCCAACGGCAAATTTGCAATATCATGGCGAAACACGCTCGACCCCTTTGATCATGAGGTCGTTCTTTATACCTGGCTCTACGACGACGAGGACGGCGAGGACGACGAAGTTGAAGACGACGAGGATGAAGATGATTTGAACGAAGGCGTTATGGAAGAAAGCAAGGGACACAACCCCTGCAACATTATCCGTTCGTTTCGTCATTCTGTCGTATTGGAGCTGGTTTCTAACATCTCTAGGTGCCGCTTACGAAGCTTACGTCTTGACCAGCTCCAACGATCAAGACCCAGATGTCCGTTCTTCTCAGAGAATAGGCCCTGCGACGAGGTTAGCATTCAATGATCGAGACTTTCAGTTGCTCTATCACTACCGAGCTCAAAACATCTATGGTGCCTTTCAGAGACTTGATCGCCTTCCTGGCCGCCCAGGCGAGCCAAAGCCGCATGTTAATAAGAATGCATGCACTGTGCAGTTTTCGCCCTCCCTTTCGCTTCAATTCTCAATTGGAATACCATTTTTCGGTACCCATGAGCTCGGCGATATAAACCAGGGAGAACAGTGTCATTGGCAGTACCTCGCCTTCGGAATTGCCACCCATCGCGTGGAAAAATGGACTGTGGCATGTCTCCTGAAGTCTGAATCATATACTGGTCCGCGGTGTACCCATGTTTTGAATCTCGACCGCGGAAGGCGTTTCGACAACTGGCAGATCATGGCACAACTTGGGGGATTCCGAGAAGTGACAACTTCGCATGGATCTCCGGTGGCAACTTCGCGTCGTGGAACTCGTGTTGCTGTCGCTAACTGGAAAACGCTCTATGTATGGGCACTGAATCCGTCAGAACTGATAGAAGACAATGGAACCGGATTTTACCCATTATCGTGGGAATCCTCTACGGGTGCCATCGAGTTGCGACCAGTCATCCTCCAGTTAGAGGCCGTTTGCTCTCAATTGCATTTCACTGAAAAGGAAGACGAGCTGGTCGCGATTACTGATCGTGGAGTGATGTTCCTAAACATCGGTTATAGTGGAAAATGCAAACAGCCTGTCAAAAGCCGGGGACATGTCAATAGTATGTAACAAATCCGACGAGGAGCTTGGAATATCTGGACCTTGACCGGCATCCTATTGCTCGAGTGTGGTGAAAGTCATGAGGTTGGCTGCTGAATAGCGAAGACCCCTCTGCGGTTATGAGCCTTCTCCAAAGCAGTGGATTAAAACTAAAATAGAGTGATTTCTTGGATATCATCAGACCAGGACGCTACCATTGTCTCATGCAAGACTACACAATAAGACCCGAGCAAATTAGCTGTCTCTATTTTTCCGTATCCCCAAAGCAAACCGAAACACCCAAAAAATGCAGAACCACTAGCTGTATGACATTGTACATAGATCAAAAGAAAACCATGGCCCTGAGAATAATGCAAAGCCAGAAAGGGGTATCCCAGGGTCGTCATCATAGCAAGAGAAAAAGAAGGCGGGAAAAAGAGAAGAGAGTAGTCCAAGGACATGTTCTAGCTCATCTCAGAAGCGAGCCATTCAAGCACGCTTTCATAGCAGAGTGCATATTGACTCAGGTTCTGTACCATGCTCGGTCTTTGTCTCCGGAAATCCTCCACCGTCTTCGCAATTAGATCAAGATTGAAATCCCCCATCCACTCGGAAGATCCGCTGGGGTTTTGATACAGACCTCCACCACTGGCAGCCTGCGCGCGTTGCCGTTTCAACATGTCCAAGACACTATCGACAGTGCAGAAGGTCCCGGTACGCCCGCAGCCCGCACTGCAATGCACTAGTACTGGTCGCTGGCCCTTCGGTTCTGCTTGCTGGCTACTAAAGCTAGGGTTGCTGGTGGCACGAATGACCTTGTTACATTGTTCAATCAGATGGAGAAGATGAGTAGGCTGTGAGGTTGTCCCGAAATCGGGCCAGTAAGGATATTGGAGCTGGGTGATATCCCGAAGCGGCTCGAAGGGGAATGACGTATGGCAGATACTGAAGTTTCGCACGGTGATGACTGGGTTTTCGTTTGTGCCATCAGGTCGTTCGGTCGATGCCTTGGGACTGCCAACCGTGGGATCGGTAGGTCCGGCCTCGGATTCGATATAGATGTGCTTTTCCGAATAGGCCTTTACCTCGAATGGTCCATATTTTCCAGACTCCCAGTATCGGTGGCATTTCACCTGTCCTCGTTCAACCTCTGCAGTGAGAGAAACGAGAAGTCGAACGTCTTGCTCCCACACCACTCGCCAAAAGTCCTACGTGTTGTGAGTAACATAATAACAAGCATTCCAAGGGGCTAACTACTCACATTAAAGGTATCAGGAACGGGAGCCTGAGTGGCAATGTATTTCCGATTGGTAAGTTCAGCGGAAATATGATTTGCATTCACATAATCACAGGCCCCAGATGGAATTCCCTCAAGTCGGACACGGGAATGATCGAATGGGTAAATATCATTGTAACGATTCTTCGTGCCTTTTTCTATCCCCGCAACGCGATATTTCTTGGGAGAACCATTGGTGTCAGCTGAAGGTCCCTCGTATGTTAAAGCCTGTTTCATGCGTTCCAGTTCTGTTTTCTCCAAAGCCAGGAACTTGCTCGAGACAATCTTTCCTTGGTCCTTGGTATCGGCAGCGCTCCGCAACCAGGAAGGGAGTTGTTGTCGCTTCGCTTCGGTCAATTGATTGGGCTGTTTCAGAGGAATTTGTCCCACGCCTCCGAGGAGATCCATGTTCTGTCGAATGTTCCCAAAGAACGGATTGACGGCAGATGATGATTCTGGTAGGGCGCAACCACCCACGACAGGAGCAACAGATTGCAGATTGATTCTCATGGGAGAGGGACGTTTAGAGGATGGTCCAGTCGTTCGCGTTTGTGGCTGCTGAACCAAATGTGGAAACCGACCCGAGAACCCTCGAAACCCGTTTTGTAAGATCAACCCATCTCCCTTCCAGTCTTCGGCTTGGAATTTATTGAGCAGGTTCAGAAGGGGTGCAGCATCCTTCAAATCTGCGGCGGCAGAATCGTACACAATGATCACGTCACACTTTCTCCAACGAGCGAAATTCTGTTTGTCGGCGTCGTCCGTGAAAGTACCCTCTAATTTCTGAGTATCAAATGATCGACGCTTGAGTAGGGTGGTGGGGATGCATAAATTGAGTGATCCTTTGATATTGGCCTGTCTGAAATGAGCAAATGGGCGAACATCAAATAGCATGGTATTTGACTGAGATGATTCAAGAAGTTCGGCGCAGCGTTCGGCTGATACCCAGGGAAATGAAGCGGAAGTGGCCTCTGAAGAAGCAATGTCAGCACCTCATATAATTTGTAGAATATAGACAATGGAACAGATCAGGAGTTACAGGACGAAAGACAGAAAGAGAAGAAAAGAAAAGAAATCCCAGAGTCGTCATACCTTGTGGAGTGGGCGCTAAGTTCTTGCCAGCCGGAAGCCTCAGTTCGCTGGGTTGTGCAAATGAAAAATTTCCCGGATATGAAGGTGAAGATTTTGACCATGAAGTCATCTGGGGGAGGAAGATCCATGTAATGCTGATTCTCGGCGTAAGCGACTGGTTTCAGACTCGGTCTTCAATAGATTCTTCAATCCCGCCGATACTGATTCTTGGGAAAACACGGGTAATATTGGACTCGGCACAGGTTGTGGAAGGGGTAATGTGCCCCAATTCTTTTGCATAGACAGCCCTGGGTTGGAAGTCTGTTGATTGGGGCTTTGCACAGCCATGCCAAAATAATTGGGGCTTGATCTGTCTGTAAAACCCGCACTCGACATCATGCCCGTGGCTGATGGGGACATGGTAGGCTGGAAGGACTGTGTGACACCACCATCATGATGCCCGCCTTGAGCACTTTGTACCCAAGGCGAGGAGGGTGAGCGTCCTGGGCCTGTCATGGCAGGCAGGTTGGTTTCACGACTCCAGTTCTTGGTCTGTCGAAACGCGGTCAGCTCAAATCTTCCCTGGCAATGACACCAGCCGTTGCGTATCAGACAATTAAAAGCAGCTTCTCGGGGATCAGACTGACAAGTGCTCCTCAGCTCTCACGGACCAGATATCAGGGTCTTTGAAGACCTAGGACGGTGGCAGAATCGCTGGTCATAAATAGCATCCAATACACAAAGGTGAAGCCGATGTGTCTCGGATAAGAGTATCGAATGGAAACGTAAGCAAAGCTTCAGATGGAAGTGACCTCGAGATATACGCAACTGACGTAGCGAGAGACAAAGAGGGGCAACAAGAAGCGAATAGACCAGGGCCCAGCCAAAGAGGAGAACTGGCCAATGGAATGAAAAATGGCAAATAGTGGATGAACAGGTCTGATATCAGAGAGAGGACGTGTTATTGCATGATTAATAATCTGGAATTAACCCTGGGAGCCCTGAGTTAAGGGAAAATGGGGTGAAGAAGAAATTTGGGGGCTTCGAGAAGAAAAGGGTATGACGTTGTTGTGTGGGGGATCACGGGTTCACTTCAACTTCTGACGTAGTAGTATTTTATTTACTTATTTACTTACTTATTTACTTATTTATTTATTATATATATATATGTATATTTATATGTATATGTATATATAAAATATATCTAGATCTATAGTATATTCTCAGAAAATAATAGAGGTATGTATACATAAAATACTATACAATATAAAGTACTCCGTACTTGTCAACCACAAGAGAAACCAACTTGGCACGGTAGTCTTCAGCCGGCTGGGCCCTGGGGCTATAGATGGCTGAGTCAGCATTGGACGATCTATCCAGATGAATATACCAATCTAACCAACATATAACCAAATATATACATCGATGTATTCCGAATTGGATTGATATTGATTTTATCTTTAGCCTGATCGATATTAACAGTGACCTCATCCCACTTCCTGGTCAGTCACGATCTCAGGAGTTTCCAAGAGACCCAACCGTAGACAACCATAAGAGTGGTTCCACTCATGCAGGTCTCACGTCAATATGACATGCGGAAAAAAATATGAGACGACAGACTTGACAGGGGCAGAAATATCCATGGATATCTTTTCCCAATTTCACAGTTAATCTTCCAGCATATAGGATCTGGCAAGCGGAAGTATACATTGCATATTGTATACAACTTTCGAGAGGCTGAGAAAGTGAGCGAGACCAATTCCAATGGCTACCTAAATAGGGATATTGGTGCATAGCATATGTTGTATGCGAAGGCCAGCCAGGTAATTGAGTGGATGTCTCCCCCCCCCCCCCCTCCCTCCTGCCAATTCTCTCCTCCATCTTCGCATAGCAATGAACGGTAATGTACCCCTAGCAATGAGCTCATACGCGAGCTGAGGTCATAAGGAAAACGTGTTTTCGTCGTTTTGAGGATACCAGAGCACTGGGGTATTTGAATTCAAAGTGTTACAGTCTTCCATCCGGTTCACCTTTGAATCGCTCTACTCGCTTCTGCTCCCATTGGTCGAGATCTTTGGCCATGAGTCTCTGTAAGTGGGCACAATGATCAGCATTCAGTCCGAACGTCAGGCAAGAAAATCACGATCCATTAAACAACACATACGTAGTATTCCTCCTTTTCGTCGCCTATGATCCTCCGCCGTGGGTTGCGTTTAATTCCCTCTTCCCCGTCAGGACCCTTGAGTCCGAGGTCAAATGCTTCATCTTGACTGAGCTGCTTGACTTTACGGTCATACCGCTCATATCGCAAGGCAGCAGCAGGTGTCAGGGCAAATGACCCAGCTACAATAACGGTCATAAAGGGAAGTCCGAAGAGAATGAAAGGGTGGCGAGCAAGTCGCGCCCGGTAGAACGCACCGAGCCGTTCACCGAGGGACGATGATTCTGTAGCTGCCCGACGGAAGGTTTTGGATTGAAACACGGGCATATTTGCGAATCAATCTATTGAACGCTATTATTGATTGAAGGACGGAATGAAAGGTTCATTTTAGTTCAATGGAAATGGAAATAAAGATAAAGGAACAATAGGATTCCGGTCAATCGGTCAATAGATGATCCGGAATACCGGGTTGAATTGTTTAGAGCTTCCCAAACAGCCTCTTCAATTGTCCATTGACATTTATTGACTCTTAATTATCGGGCTGTTTCTTTATCCATATAAAGGCAGAGCTCTGCTGAAGCTCCGTTCTTTTATAACCGAAGCCTGAGAAAAACTCTATTACTTGTCGTGGGCATTCTTTGCCGTTACAGAGCTCTCGCTTGGTGTGCGCAATCCAGTTTTCTTGCCCTTTGATCAGCATTTGGTTGCTTAATCACCAGCTCCAAGTGAACTAATTGGAATAACAGTTTCGCTGCAATCTTACTTTACACCCCTTCCTTCTCTTTTCTTCAAAGCCTTTGAACCCACCAGCCCTCCATGGCTTCCAACACCGGTTCTCTCTTCGGAGGGGGTGGTCTTGGAGCCTCGACAACCCCACAGTCGAACAGCCTCTTTGGCGCAAACAATTCGACAGCGAGCCCTTTTGCAAATTTCTCTACTACAGGTGCACAGGGTGCACAGGGCGCACAAGGCGCGCAAACATCGTCTCTGTTCGGAGGTCAATCCCAGGCCCAGCAACAGCCTGCTCAAACTTCGACCTTGGGCCAGACCCAACAATCTGGCAACCTCCAGGCCCAGGGACAACCTGCAAGTCAGTCAACACAGCCTGCGTTTTTCAACAGCCTATTAGAGCGTGGAAAAAAGCGACCATTGTCATCGGTTATTCAAAACAACAACTTCGAAGATGTGCCTAGTCTCCAGTTAGGTCTAGATGACATTCGAAGGAAGGCGCGAGAGCTAGGCTCCGCAGGACAAAAGGATACACCAAACGGCAAGAACAGCAAAGCGTGAGTTTCATTTCTACCACCTTGTCGCGGTTGTTTTGTTTTTAGCCTTGCTTAACCTTGCGATTTTATCAATAGTCATTATCTTCTTGCGGCTTCCGGCATATCCCCGGGACAAGCATTGCGCGATCTCAAGTCCATGGACCCCCAGGCATCTCTAGCGGCCCCGGCGAGGGAACTCGACCACTTCGACCCTGACAACCAAAGATTTTTGCGGAATATCCAACAACGTGGCAGACAGGTCATGATTGCAGAGGGTCTCACCAGAGCTCAGCGGGACTTCGATGCTTTTCTCGAGGAGAAGGTGGACATGGACTGGGAAGACCAACGCCAGAAAATATTCCACCACTTCGGGCTATCCCAGAAAGATGCCATTGGCGCTGGGGGACTGAAATCTACCACTAGGGGTGCCTTTGGACGGTCAGCAAGACAGTCTAAGCAAACCGGAGCTGCCCCAGCCAACGGTCCCTCAACTGCATCCCGCAGAAGCGTATTCGGGCGTTCCGGTCTCGAGAAGTCGGTAATTGGCACACCTGGAGCCGGTTTAGCAAGCCGTCAAATATTTGAAGACCCAGCAGAGCGAAATGAAGGAAACGCGGCCCACTCGCCTGATCTCAGGTTCCAACGGGAGAAGATGGGCCACTACGCCGAGAAAGTTCAACAGTTGAACCTCGCCAGGCTTCAAGGGAAATGCTACCCCGTGCTCGATGAGTTTTCATACGTTGAAGTACAGGCCGGCGGTGATGTAAGTTTGAAACCCTCCCACATCATGGATGTTCGTGCAGCTAATCATTTCTCAGGTACCTCGGCAACTCTTCAATGCGTACCAAGCCTTGATAAGAATTGTCCACGAGAAGCCGAACATCATGAACCCATCGGAGCCTGGAGCGGTGAAGGAGCGACAGTATGCCGAAGATTACCTCGAAGAATCGTCCAAATCCCTCAAAGCAATCGAACTCAAGAAGCAGATCCTTGAAGGCTCCAGGGGTTTCCTTGAAAGCACATTCTTCGACGAAGTTGAAACCGCCATTGCCAAAAACCCCCGGGAAGCACAATTGGGAGGAATTCCAACTGTGATCAACAAGATTCGCGCCTACATCCGTCTTCAAGCCGCGAGGAAGGATCTGGCACCTGATGGCACCGAGCTCCAAATGGTGAACCAAGACTACTGCTGGATTCTCATCTTTTACCTTCTTCGATGTGGTTTCGTGACTGAGGCAGCTGAATACGTGAGCCGGGACAGCGGGTTCCGATCGCTAGATCACAAATTTGTGACCTACATGACCACCTACGCGCAGAGCAGGAGACTGCCCCGGGACTTGCAGCAAAAGATCAATGGCGAATTTCAGCAACGCTCACGGAATGCACCTGAAAATACAGTCGATCCGTACCGAATGGCCTGCTACAAGATCATTGGCCGCTGTGATCTCTCACGTCGTCGTTTGGATGGCGTGAAGCAGACCGTCGAGGACTGGATGTGGCTCCAATTCAGCCTTGCAAGGGAAGACGACCGCGCCGAGGAGGTTGCAGGTGATGTCTTCGGTCTAGAGGACATTCAGACTGACATCCAGGAGATTGGCCAAAGAGTCTTCACCAAGGGCAACGAGGGACCCGGTGGCTATGGAACTTACTTCCTACTGCAGATACTGGGTGGCATGTTTGAGCAGGCCGTGCATTATCTCGGCACCTATGCCCCAGTCACTGCTGTTCATTTCGCCATTGCCCTGTCCTATTATGGCCTCTTGCGCGTGTCCGACTTTTACACCTCCGGTGAAGAGATTCGTAAGCTTACTCTCTGCCGTAACATTATGATCTTGCTAACCTTATATGTTCACGCTTTACGCAGTCTCCTTTACAGTCAAGCAATATCCCCAGATCAATTTCGGATATCTCTTGACCCAATACACCCGAGAATTCCGCACTGGATTCGTTGAAGCTGCCATCGATTACTTCACATTAATCTGTCTCAACGCAGACCTTCCAGGTGCCCTGGGCAAGTCCCAAGCATCCGTCTGTCACGAGGCCTTGCGAGAGTTCATTCTAGAGACCAGGGACTTTGCCAAATTGCTTGGCGATATTCGGGCGGACGGTACTCGCCTCAAGGGAGCCATTGAGCAACGTCTCGATTTGATCAAATTGGTCGACCAGCAAGAATTCTTGAAGACTATTACGGTTCAAGCTGCTGCCGTGGCGGATGATAAGGGTTTGATCACGGATGCCGTGCTTCTGTACCACTTGGCAGAGAACTATGACCGTGTCATTGACATCATAAACCGTGCATTGTCAGATGCGATCGCGGTTGAGCTAGGCGGCGCCATGCCGAAACTGCAACCCCTGCGTCCAAGGATCGACCAAAATCAAGATAGTCAGCCAGAGGCAGCGGAGGCCGGAAGCAGCCTCAGTTTGACTGCCGTGGATGATCCAGGCGTCTTGGCCAAGAACATGATCAGTCTTTACGATTCGGACATAATGTATTATGGACAAATCCGACAGGTCAACCGTGATGCTTGTGGCTTGCTCCTGCGTATGATGGAAGCAAAGACCCAAGTTGAAGCCGGCAGATGGGCGCCAGCTCTTGATGTAAGTGTCTCCCACCCGTGGTTTTGTTTAATGATTGAAGTACTAATGAAGGTAACAGGCTATCAACGCTTTGAACATTCTCCCCTTGCAAGCACAGGGCTCCGTGTCATACATTCGAAGCACAGCCCAGGCTTTCTCGTCATTGCCACCCATCATTTCACGCAACGTCGGGCCTGTTATCATGTGGAGCATCACATGTATTGGCTATGAACGCCAAAAGCGTACCTTTGGGATGTACGACAGTGAAGTGCGCCAGGGATTGGCGGATACTTTGCTTGTCATGGCCAAGGATCTCATGGTGTTCTCGGGAATGGTCAAGTACAAATTGCCACCAAGGGTCTATGAGACTCTAGCTCGTGCTGGAGCGGATATCGGGGCATATTAGATCTGATTTGAGATTATGGGATATTGAGATACTTTTTTTTTGTGCTTAATTGCCTCGAATACAATCGAGAATGCAATGAATGATTGGTCTTTTTTTTTTTTATAGAATTTCTACTAGTTTCTAAGGCCGGATCTAGTACAATGTGTTGTTTATGTTCCCCTGGTAATACTATTACTTTGTTGGATATGTGATATTTTGATATAACCCTACTCCGTATATCCTTAGGGGATGCATATAACTGTGGACCTATGCCCGGGCCTTCATGCTTCCGCCCCACTAAGTTCTTCCCGAGGCTCGAGGCTCCTTCTCCGTCACTTTGCTTTGTATATACCTCTGTATATATCTGTGTCTATCTGGGGCTAACTCTCTAGTGAAATGGCTATTTCATCGCCATAGCTGGGAATACGGAGATCCTGTATTCTGCCACGCTTCCCCAGGATGGACCATGCCTCCAACGCATCCGTCTTGAGCTTGGAGGCTTCTGGCAGTGAGGGGGATCCCCGCACAATGGAGTTTCTGTGCAGGCGAAATACGTTTTGGGAACAGACCCTGAGATTGAACGGGCCTGCGATACACGAGATGTGACGGACGAAGACCTGCCCGAAACCACAACCCCAATCAATCTATCTGGTGCCCTTGACAAACAAGCATTACACAGTGACGAGGACGGGTCAACACAGCGCAGTGCGACCTTCGGAGACGCTCACAGTAGCGCGTCAACGATTCAAGATGCCAAGGCTACCCCCAGCCTTTTCAACAACCCACCGAACCTAGCGCGCATACGCAAGGTCCTATTCGAGTGCAAGGACCCGATCGAAATCAGTCTCGAAGAGTTTGAAACATATTGGCCTTTTATTGATAATGTATGGGTCAAACAAAGATCAAATGCGAGCAAAGAGGGCCATTGCACCACCGACTATTACATGTGCCGTTTACGACGTCCCACGCACCGCACATCTGAAACTCGGCCCTTGCCAGAGGGCAAACGCCCTCGCAAAAAGCGAGTCCGAGAGGGAGGCATCTGTAACTTTCAAATCAAGGTTGTCCGGTTTGAAGGGGCATATTCAACCGTCACTATCGCGAGAACGCCGGGAAGTTGCAGCATCCACTCACATGACCTCGACTACATCGACCGGGTGAAGCGGAACTCGGGATTAATGGAGTACGCGCGCAAAGAATCGGTGAAGGGATATCTTCCTTCTTCGATCTATACCAAATTTCAAGAAGAACCAGATAAGCTTTCGGAGGCTGGGGGCGATTCTTCACGGTGACGGATGTGCGCAACATCTCCGCCAAGTGGCGTATACAAAATCCGGAAGTGAATCTGGTTGCACACGAGGGCTACGAATACCAAAAGGGTCATGGTATTGTTAAAACCCAAAGCACCGATGGGGTCAACGAGGTGTCCTCCCAAACCAAACCACCCTCGACCTTGTCCGCTTTGCCCCCGGACACACTATCATTCCCTCAATTTTCGCTAGACTTCTTACATCCTTATCTTCCCAATCACTCAGAGCGCCGAGAGTTCCCACATGTCACATTATCATACGCATCGTCCATGGACTCCAAGATCTCTCTTCAACCAGGAATGCAGACGGTATTGTCCGGACCGGAGGCCAAATTGATGACTCATTATCTTCGTTCCCGACATGACGCGATTCTTGTTGGGGTAGGAACTGTTCTTGCCGATAATCCAGGGTTGAACTGTCGTCTGGAAGGGGCCGGTGGGTTTGGAGGCCTGGGGAGAATGTGGCAACCACGGCCAGTGATCATTGATCCTATGGGCCGATGGCCTGTTCATCCCGAATGCCGGATGTTACGTACTGCCGTTGAAGGCAAAGGCAAAGCTCCATGGGTTGTGTTATCTCCCGGGGCTCAAATCAACCCCCAGACACTCGTGATGCTGAAAGGCTACGGTGGGGATTTTCTTCGCATCGTAGAATACAATCAACACTGGCGATTACGCTGGGAAGCCGTCTTTCGTGCCTTGGCATCGGAGGGTATTAAAAGTGTCATGATTGAGGGTGGTGGTACGGTCCTGAGTGAATTGTTGAATCCCGAGTATACCAGTTTCATTGACTCGATTATTGTGACGGTTGCTCCCACCTACCTTGGACGGGGTGGAGTGAATGTCAGTCCTGACTCGAAGCAAGATCAGGAGGGTACCCCCAATGCAGCACTAAATCCTCGAGATGTTAAATGGATGCCATTGGGACAAAATGTGATTATGTGTGGAAAGATTCGTGAAGAAACAAGTCATTGATTGGTTCGTCCTCTTTTTTTTCTTTCTTTCTATTGAATAAGAAATTATTTAATTATTCAATTGTAACAATAGAAAGAAAGAAAGAACCTATTCACGCGTAATAAATGTTCATAAACGCGTCACATATGAATAGTAAATGAATAGTAAATGAAGTAAATGAATCAGCCCATTGAAAGGTGCCCAGGTGGCTGGGGAGAGAATGTGCTATTGTTTTGGCTTATGTTTTGGCTTGGCGTCCTCTTTTTTTTTTACCCTTCTACCTACCCTTCTAACATACCTTTTTCCCTTTTTTTTCTTTCAATCTCAGCTTCAAATATTCCCCAACCCCCCTGTTTTGTTCTTATTCTTTGCTATTTCTAATAGCCCAGTCTAAGGCAAAAATGCCTCCCAAGAAGAACACATCCAAGTCTGTCGAGGCTTCGACAGACGCGAAGAGAAGTACTCGAGTACGCAGCACCAAACAAACTACTGTGACGAAGACCGAAAAGCCAATGAAGGAATCTACAAAGCCAGCAAAGTCTGTTGCCAAGACAGATGCAAAGCCAGTCACAAAGACTACCAAGAAGGTCACCAAGAAGGTCACCGAGAAGCCCGCTGCAGCATCGACCAAGTCAACTGAGAAATCAACTAAATTGGCAAAGTCTACCAAATCAACCTCTGCTACGAAGAAACGGAAAGCCGACGAGGATGAGGAGAAGCCTCGCGAAATTAAGAGATCTCGTATCGCGCAACCCCGTCAGCCAAAGCTGAAAGCCAAGGTTGTCATCAACGAGGCCCCGACGACCAAGCTGAATGTATTTGTCTGTGGTGAAGGTAGCTCTGGTGAGCTGGGTTTGGGCACAGCCAAGAATGTGATCGATGTGAAACGCCCACGTTTGAATAAGCTTCTGTCTGCCGAAGAGGTCGGAGTTGTACAGGTTGCTGTCGGTGGCATGCACTGTCTAGCTCTAACCCATGACAACAAGATCTTCTCCTGGGGCGTGAACGACCAGGGTGCGCTCGGAAGAGAAACTGAATGGGATGGCGGATACAAGGACATTGAGAACGATAGCGATTCCGATTCAGACGATGAAGACAGCGGATTGAACCCCCGGGAGTCTATTCCCACTGCTATTCCTGCCACCGCTTTCCCCGAAGGCACTGTCTTCGTTGAAGTCGCCGCCGCTGACAGCGCAAGCTTTGCCCTGACCGATGACGGTCTGGTCTATGGCTGGGGCACCTTCCGAGTAAGATAATCCGACTACTTTAGATCGCATTTATTTGACTAACCACGATTCTAGAGCAACGATGGAATCCTCGGGTTCGACGCGTCTTCTCACGTTCAAACAACCCCAACGTTGATCTCGTCTCTGAAGAAAATCAAACACCTGACTTGCGGAGCCAATCACGTTCTTGCCCTAAACGACCAAGGTCGCGTTTACTCGTGGGGCTCAGGACAACAGAATCAGCTCGGCCGCCGGATCGTGGAGCGCAACAGATTAAATGGTCTTCAGCCTCGGGAGTTCGGTCTCCCCAAGAACATTGTCCACATCGGCAGTGGCTCGTACCATTCATTTGCCGTTCACACCACTGGCAATGTCTACGCCTGGGGATTGAATAGCTTCGGTGCCACGGCCCTCCGCGAGGGTGCCGGTGATGATGAGGCCGCTATCGTGCATCCCACCCTTGTCGAATCACTTTCTAACAGGAATATTTCTCAAATCTGCGGTGGTTCCCACCACTCAATTGCCATTGCTGGCGATGGTGAATGCTTGGTTTGGGGCCGTCTCGATGGTTTCCAAAGCGGCTTGAAGATCGATACACTTTCCGATGACGCCGTTATCAAGGATGAGCGCGATCGCCCCCGTATCCTAATCGCTCCTACTCCCGTTCCTGGCATCAAGGCCAAGGTTGTGGCGGCTGCCTCGGATCATTCTCTCGCTATCGATGCCGATGGCCGTGCATGGTCATGGGGTTTCTCTGCTACGTACCAAACTGGACAAGGTACCCAGGATGACATCGAGGTGGCTACCGTTATCGACAACACTGCTACTCGTGGAAAGAAATTGAACTGGGCGGGTGCTGGTGGTCAGTTCTCTGTGTTTACAGAGCCTGCTAGCGTGTGAGGTCAATATATCCAATTGACCTATGCTTTATTGTAACACCAAATCTCTCTTTCTTTTTTTCTACCTTCTATGTGTTGTCTCGTTTCCAGAGCAGTACATGAAGAGTTGTTTCGCAATCTCCAGTTATCCTGCTCAGTTAGCATGTTATTTGAAATTAATTCCTTTTCTCCAATGTGATCCAATGCGTGATGCTTGGTAATACCAGTTTTAGACTCATTCGGTGTACGATTGTTCAATCTTCAGCTGAGCCATACAGGCCCTGTGGCCTAGATGATTTGATTAAACGGAATACATACGTATGGTCTAGTAGGGGTCAGCAGGCTTATCCCGAGTTTGAACATGTTCCATCGCTGTCATTAAAATTTACGGTGTAAGATAAGATGCCTTCATAGCTACATCCCAAGCTCCCTCATCGCTTCGTACTCAGCATCATAGTCGTTGTTATCGTCATCGGGTACCCTTGAAGATGAGGCATGCATGTCCCGGGGGAAATCAGTCATTGGCTCATCCTGTTCTCTGAGAAGATCGTCCAAATCATCGTCCTCGGGCTCGGGGTAGCTGATTGTAGGCCGTGCGCTCTCGTTTGGGTCTGGAATAAACAGGTCTTGGTCGGCGGCCCCTTCCTGATCCTGGGTAATCGCGGCTAAGTTATGATTGGAAGCTGCAAGGTTCTTGAGGTCGCGGCTTTCGAGCTCTTCTCGCGTAGGTCCAGAGCTATCGAAAAGTCTCGGTTTCTCTTCGTCTATCCATTCTCGTCGCATGGCCTGAATGCGTTTTGAGTGTCCCAGTTTCTCAATCATTGTCAGACCGTCTGCGAATTTTGCGCGTGGAAATAGATCATCGAGCCATAGCTGGTAAAAGTTGAGCAAGCGTGCAGCGTCCTTGAACTATAGCAAACCTAAGTCAGTTGCGCTAGCTCTGGCGTAGGTATGTTGGATAGACAAGAGAACGAACCTCATGTCCTTTCCCCTTGAATTTCAGCTTCTGTCTGGCAGTATGTCGCAGTTTAGGTATGCCCGGTTGTGACAGTAACCTGGCCGATTCATCAGCATTGTTGTAGCCCCAGGCAATCTCCCGAAACGAAATAAGAGATTTCAATCAAGAAACAAGGTAGCACGTAAGACTCACCGGCCCTCATCTAGTTTGGCCACAGGTTGTCGTTTCTTCGCGACTTTGACTTCTTCATCAAGACCCAAACCAAGTGCAGAATCCCCTGTCCCAGAGGCCTTGGTGTTGTTGGTATTTGGAGCTTTGTTATCTGGAATAATCTCATCCAAGCCGATGTCATAATCAAAAAGATCATTTAAATCACCCGCTGTCGGTGAGCTTCCTCGCTCTGAAACGTTCGCGTTCGCCATAGTTCCGATCGCGCGCAGATACTGTTGGTGGGTGCAATTATATCGAGGGATGGATTTTGAGCGAATCAGATAACTAAAGAGTTGACAAAAATGAAAGAAAGAAAGAAAGAAAGTTGGCACCTATAGATTGAAGCAATTCAAGTTTCGTGTATGAATATTCCAGTGGCTATCTTAGGATCCCATATCAATCAATCAGATGCGGCCTTGACGCGTGACGCGAGTAGTCTGTTATCTGCGCTCTTATTGGCTGTCGGGCTTCTTGTCCGCCTTAATTATGCTAGACCCAATAAGGTTAGCGCCGTCTCTCCCTCCAACTCCCAGAACTTCAACCTCGAATGCTTGCACATCCACACTTCAAACCAACATGGCGACCGATACCAAAACAGCCATTGTGCCCTCTAAGCGGGCTAACACCGATTACCCGGTATGATTGATCTAATATGAACCGGGGCTGCTACTTTTCTGTCCCGGATTGCTCGTTCGCGTACGTCTTTTGCTAACATATCCCACAGTTGATCGATTCCGACCCGTACGCTTTACCCCGGATTCTAAGATTTTGTCACAAGCTCACATCTTTTTCAGGCATTTGAAGCGAGTGTTCGGATATGCCCGGCCTTCCGACTGGGCCGTGGCTGGCGGTATGGCCTCAGCTGCTCCCATCTCGTTCTGGATCATGGAGAGAGCTAGCCCGTCGCATGTAGGCCGCGGTGGCTTCGCTCCTGTTATGCGACTTGCTACAGCTGTTGGTCTGCTTGGTGGCCTTCATGTCCTCTATCAGCGATCCTGCCGTAAGCCATATCCCTCCCACCTGAACCCTCTCCCGATTTTTGGGGAGTATCATCTCAACTCACACTATCACAGAGCGCTTTTACGGCTTCACTGAGAATGCTAGAGAGGTCGAAATGGATACTCGTGAGATGGTCGACAAAGTCAAGAAGGGCGAGCCTCTGTACGGTAAATCCCAAATGTCGTCTTATCTACAAGGCGTAGCCGCCCGCAACTCGCGGTACTCAGAACTTTTCATCCACGTTGTCCCATGGTTCAACTTTGTCAACCATGATCAAGTAAGTCTTCCATTCTACTCAATTTGAGCCAAGGGGAGTGATGTTAATTGTTTTTGCATCAGCATGGCGTGGACACTGCCAAATACTACCAGCAGGCCGAGCGGGAATTGGAGGCAGAGCGCACTGGCTCTTCATGAACATACACCATCAGCTAGAAAGAAAAAAAGAATGATGGGCAGCCTTTCCGTTCAGTGTTGCAGATTTGTACACATATCCGATTTTGTGTGTGTTTTTGGGGGCGCAATTGATATTCACAATACAGATTCCCGTTCTGGTCAACCTTGACGCTTATTATATCTATATGGAGATGCCGTTTGGAACTAATGATTCCCCATTTGTATCAAAAGCGGATGCAATCTAGCCCTAAAGGTATCGCGTAGTGAAATAATGTTTGGAGACGTCCCGAATCCGAGTCTTGCAGCCTACCAGGTGGATGGCACTTCTTCATTGTCGTCTTCAAATCTAGTGTTTAACTCTCGATTCTTCTTCGGCCTAGGGTTAGGAGCTGGCATATGATCAGCAGGTAATCGCGCTTGAGGTTCGTGCGTCCTAACTCCTTACCTTTTTCGTTCTCCTGTATGTAGAAACGACGGAGCAACATGATTGCTTCTTTCTCGAACAGCCCACCGTAGACGGGGTATGGTGGGTCAATTGAGGGGCTATATCGGATTAGCCTTGCACGATCAAGAGTGTTTCTTGGGATGCACTGACTCGGAGTGTAATGAAAGAACACCTCCGGTGCCTCCAAATCGATCATTGGCGCACCCAAAGTACACACTGCGGATGCGGTACTGCTTCAGTGCAGAAGCACACATCACACAGGGTTCAACCGTGACGTAAAGATCAGTAGATTGCAGTGCTGACCTAGGGTAGCTTTGGAGCATCTCTGCAATCGCTATAAACTCAGCATGTCTCGTGCCCTAGAGAATGTTAGCGATTTCTACGCACTGAGACCTTCAGCCAGTCACCGACATTCATAGATCTGTTCGTGTCGTTCATGCCAAACCCCACAATTTGATCGTTGTGCACCAAAACACAACCAACGGGAGTTTCGCCTGACTGGAGAGCCTTCTCGCCCTGATATTTGAATGAGCATGTTTCGATCCCCCGGCTTCGAGAAGTTCCATACCATCAACAAGGCTTGTTTCATGAATACCCCATGTCTCGAATCCTCCGCCACGACAGAGTCACCCTTGAATTCCATAGCCAATTCGAAATTTCTCTTTGTATATTTTAGACCAATATGAGTTGACTCCAGTAACTGGTGAGATATCTCATGGTTATGAGGAAGTGAAGGAGTCAGAGGGTACAGAGCAAGTGGCACCCGAAATTTCAAAGGTGAAGTTGACCAACTCTGGGCCACAGATCCAAGGTCCATGATACAATGGAGATTCACATACTTGGGGGATTTGTGTAATTTGTGTAATATAGTCTATCTCAATGTGGATTTTTCTAGTTTGAAATTTTTTTTTTTTTTTTTTTTTTTTTTATCATTTCTACATATAATAAATAATGTTCTATAGCAAGTTCTAAATTCTACCATATATATTAGAAGACCTTACCATAAATCACCACGGACCGTTTACTCAACCTCACAATAGATATAAGACCAATTTCTAGATATGTAGAATATTACAAACCGGAATTCAGTGATCACAAACCCAGAGATTATTGCAGAATGTATGCAAGTGATGGGGGAAGCTTGATGCCTCAGGTGTCAAATCGACCTATCAATTCTCTCCGCGTATCTGCACACTTCAAACACCCACACCCACACAACTCAGCCTCGAAAACTTGATTAAACACGAGGAATTGAAATTTAAAACCTAGTCCTATGAACATGTGTGTCCCATATGGCAACCGAGGGAGAGAATGAACGGGCCACCGCGCCTGGGAACGCCTGGAGAGCTGAACCTGCCTCATCGATCCTTGCTTCGCGTTTCGTGCCGCATCTTGCAACCCAGGGAAATGAATCACACTTAACCCGGGAAACGTTTGCACAGCTTCGCCAGGAACTACTCAGTGAAGTACAAAGCCAACTACGCGTTGACGAAGACGTCACTGATGTCAACAAACTCATATGCATTGTCTTAAAGGCCGGCCTAGAGATTAGCCCAAACGGGAGCACACCAGAGCAAGATCTGGAAGGACAAGTCCTCGACTGCCTAGACATCATCCAGGCCAGCATTGAAAAGGCCCCACAGGTGTTGTGGGAAGCCTCTGACCCTCTCATCCTGGGCGAGGACATACATGCTCCTCTATTCGCATGGCTAATCCTACGACTGATCCGACTTGCTACCATCTGGACATCCGAAACCGTCCGAGAAAAGGTCCAACTTCTCTGCACGAGCCTAGCTTACTCTCAGTTCAAGCAAGCCCGTTCATTGCCTGTAAGCTATGCGGTTGCTGCATTTCTGCGTGCTTGCACGTCAGGTCCGTTTTCGGCCCCCAATGATGTAGAACCATGGGCTAAATTAACATTGGCTAGATATTTTGTGCTCTCTTGAAACATTCCAACGTAGCAATTCCTGGGATACACGCCTCAGAGGGTTGTCGATACCTGCTGCAAATGGATCGCTTATTGAGGACACCCAAAACCTAGGTCTCTCCCCTGGATTATTCAAGGGCAAAACGGCCCTCGCAGGCTTTGTGCAGACTGTATCCTTGGCCTGTCGATTGCTTGATTCGTTCAATCCGAGGGGCGAAATGCAATCCCGTGCAAAGCATCATGATTTCATCTTCCGCCAAAACTTCTCGTGGGTATTGAATGGTTTCCACCGCCTTAGACAGGTCATTATTGAGTGGCTGCAAATAAAAGGAGCACAGCTCACCTCGGAAGATGCAACCGTGGCTCTGCAATATCTGACATATTTGCAACGATGCTGCGTACCAGAATCAACTTTGGCGGGACTGCTCTCGAACATGAGCCTCACTTCTACTTGGTCTCAATGCCTGTGTGGCTTTTTGAGCCTTGAGAATATAGGGAAGTTACCTTCTGTTCAGGTCATTCTAAGTCGCTTCTTGTGCGATTTGACAGAAACCGCAAAAACTTCTCAGCCTCTGGTACAGGAATTAAGGGAAACTCTGCTTCCAGTGTTGACAGAAGTCAAAGACGGCAATCCCCGCTTCCAGTTCCTTGAGCCGTGTCTCTGGGTAAGCTTTCCCTCATACCTAGTATAGGTGAGTTACCGAGCTGATACCATATTAGAATCCTCTCCAAACCCTGCACACCCTGCTTCTAGATACAGCGTTGCCGTTGGAAGTGTGCCCACCCAAAGGCTTACCCGTGGATACTTGTGAAGAGTCAGACACGCCGTTTCAGAGAGCCGAGGTTTTACACCAAGCGGAGCCGAATGAATATGACCGGGCATCGAAACGGTTGTGTCTTCCAGGTCTACCACCAGGATCTACTAATAATAGCCCGTTTCAGCTGCTCCTGGGTAATGTATCAGCGATTCTTCAGTCTGACTGTGGCAAAAAGATGGCAGATCTGCGCACCTCTATCCAGTGAGTGGGCAACGTATACCTCTTAAGGCGTGAAATGCTGATTTATCCGTGTACAAGAACATCCTACGAGGAACTTTCCGAATCTAAAAAAACCGAGCTATTGGACATTCTAGGCAAAATTTGCTGTGCAACGACAGAGAAGCTTTTAAGAAAGCCCTCGGATATCATAAAACGAGAAACACTCTTTTGTCAAATATGCGATACAGATCATCATCAGAATGATCGTGCAGAAAATGAGGAGCATCCCGGATTTGAGGAGATATGGTCACTATTCAATTTCATCCTACCCAGGCTTACACGTACGCCTGGTCCTCGGATATCTGCAATGGTCGCACTCAGAAGAATTTTGATGCATGCTCCAAACTCCAATCAAATGCATATTTCAAACTCTGCTTCCGGAGAGTTCTGTCTTCACTCGCTTCGGAGCTCAATTAGAGAATTGCGTGTTGCAACTGGGTGCGTTCCATAATCATTACAAGGCACACTGGCGCTGGATACTGACACCATTATATAGACATTCCGTAGTTGCTTTCGTGCGCCCAAATCTACCAACAGATATCCGTCGGGCCAATTTCGTTGTTGTGCTCGAGTGGCTCAAAAGCCTTTCCGGGAAAGATGATATGCCATTACAGGAAGCTTGTATCATAACACTATGTGGGCTCGCAACGTGTGTTCCTTCCTACTGCCCTAAATCTTGTTACCTCAGCTCACGATTTGTTATGTATAGCGTCTCGGAAGATGAAGAGAAGAACATCATTCTTCTTCGGCTCCTGGAGTACCTTGGTCATCCAAACCCCTACGTCTGTGCCGTAGCTTACAACGAGGTGGGTAGCCCTGATACTCTACTTTCGATTACTTTGCTCTTCATTTCAACAAATATGGTGACAGCTTACCACTGAATTTAGCTTTCCAAACTTGCCCAGCGATTCTCCGTGACACCTGCTGGTCTCTTTCGGCCTTACTGGAGGACCCTTTCGGTGACTGTGGTTAAGAACCTCCAATCTCGCCCGTATATGGCTGAACAGCTATGTGATTTGCTTGGCATGAAAGTTGATGGTTTCCTACGGCTGACAGAGGTTCATGTCTTGCCCTACCTGGTTTTGACACGAAAACGTGACATCATTTGCAGAATTGGGGCTAGTCGCGACGAAGGCGAGTCTGCTTTTGATGTTTGCTCGGAGAAGAATAACCTAGCTGCAATCCTTGCATTCCTCCTATCTCAGCAATCAGACAACCCAGAGGCTATGATCATGTCTCTTCTGGCAGATATCGACCCCGCATTCAAGGGTCGATCTTTGGCAGAGTTGGTGCGGATTGAACCAATTCTTATCGCTTGTGACTTGCTGAAGAGCCTTGGTGATGCGGGCGAGCAAAAGAAAGAGAGAGTATGTTCTTGTATCTTTCCACCTCTTCTGCACCGCTAATGATAATCCCCTCAGTTTAATCAAGCCCTCCATCGATTAGCCACATTCGTTCCGCGAAAGATCGCACATGGAAGTTCATCGAAGAAAGCGGATCTAAGCCACTTCATCGAGGAGCATGTTCTCGGTATTATCACACAATTCGCAAATGCCATTAACGACTTCCAAGTGAGACAAACATTGGCAGAGAAAAGAAGAAACATCAAAGCCATTGAAGAAATGATCAACATCGCCCAGGGTCATGTTAGCAGTGCATTGCCTCAAGTATGTGTACAGCCTTGGGAATCAGTCAATTTTAGTTACTAACATTGCAGGTTTGTGCATGTCTTCGATCCGCACTGGAGATCGAGGGACTGTGTGATTATGCATTCTCCGCGTGGAAGACATTGATCAGTTCTCTTAGTGAAGAGG